TGGGAAGTTGGTGTAGCTTTATGCCAGGCAGCAGGTTGGAGACTAGATTTTTTTGTTCTTTGTCAGGTCACTGAGCAGTGTGTGGAATGTTTGCCTGAATGTGGAGTTGAATGTTGGACACTGAATGTGTTAAGATCAGTAAATGAGGGAAATAAAGCAAATGGTTTTCCACTAACCAGGAAGTAAGGCATGGATATATCACCATGGTTATTTAAAGTATTTATGGGTATATGTATTAGAATGCTTGTTGTGATGGGAAAATGAGATGTGCAAGTCCTGGTAGAAAGATAGCAAGTAATATGTGATCTGTTATGAGAAATGAATGTTTGTCAAAAGAAGCAAAAATGGCTGTGTATAAGAGTGTGGTTAAGTCTGCCTTGTTATTGAATATAGAATTGAATGTAGCAGGAGGAATGCAGTGAGAATGGGTTACTTAAGAAGTGTGTGTGGTAAAACAAGAAGAAATCAGGTCAAGAATGAATGGGTGATAAAGGAATGTGGATTCAATACAAAAGTAAGTGTTTGGTATGAAAGATATACAGTATATTTGGTTATAGAGAGAGAACATAGGGGAAGAAATTATTGGATGGAATTGATGAGATCTTCAAAAAGAAATAGAAATTTAAAGAACAAAAGGAAATAGATGAAGCAGTGTATGTAAAAGTAAGAATGGCTTGCAAAGATTGAAAGGTATGGAGAGAGATAGTGGATTTGATTTTATTTGGCTTAGTACTTCTCACTCCTTTTCAGTGCTTTCTGTAATACTCCTTACCCCAAAATTGAGTAATGTAATCAATATGAACTATGTATTTATGTATATTTCAATGTAACCATTTTTAGTTATAACTTCACTTTTGACCCATTAGTATGAAATTCAGAAGATAGCCTAGATAATTTTTACTATAGAAAAGTAATAGATAGCTGTAACGACTGTAGTAGTTAATTGGGAAGCTTTAAAATAAGCAAGTTCCAGAAAGTCATTGATGTGATGTATGTGAATGTATTTGGTTGTGTTAAGAGAGACCACTGCCTCTAAATAAAACATCTATTTAATTGTTTAATAGACAGAAATAGTAATTTGAACCTTACTTATGGAACATGTCAAAATGCTTGCACAGTCAGGAAATTCTTCCTAATATTTAATCTAAAGCTTTTTTCTTGTAATTTGAATGATGGATTTGGGTCCTATCTAACTGATGGCTTTCACCTGCAGTAGCCATTTTCAGACATCATTAGTGTGGACAGTTAATTTATTTAGGGAGTTGTTATACAGCCTTTTAATATTACAGCAAGACTCCCAAATCACTTTGCTCATTAAAAACAACACAGAAAAGAATATCAACATTAGAGAGAAGTATATACACAACAGAGCAAGAAATAAATAAAACATCATGCAATAAGAAAATTATTTAATACATATCTGAGAAAGGTATCCTTATGACAGTATACTCAATCTTTGACCGGATGCTTTTAAGGTCAATTGTTTTGAGCTTGTTAGACTGCCAGATCATTGAAAAATAATTCAAGTGACCTAGCATCACACTAAGAAACCAAAAGAAGCAGATAACAAGCTTATCCTGAGGGTAGTCTTTGCCAGCTGTGATATCTGTTACCATTTCCTCTCAGAATTTGAAGGTTATAAACAATCTTAGGTTCAAAATACAAATGATGACAAATGAGGTTGAAGCTGATTTAAAAAGCAAAGAGGAGAGAGAGATCCACTCATCCATGTTCTTGGGCTTTTAAAAATTAAACCCTATTCCTTGGGTAGAGATCTTAGTCTCAGTGATGTTATGCGTACAGTACAATTTAGGAGAGTGAGATGTGCTGTTCAGATGCAGAGAAGCCTGACTTCCTATGTCACCATGCTCAGTTAGGCCAGAGGTCTATCTAATCTTCTTCTGCCTTCAGTGGTAGTCAGTCAGATGCCCTTGAATAGCAGGAATGACAAGTACAGCTTTTCCAGTTGAGTTCTCTGCCATTAAAATTGGGACTCCTTTCTTTACTATTTTCATTTAGTTTATGAAATGTGTTTCTAAGGCCATTCGGTCTTAACTGATGTGTAAATAGTATCATGAACAGCAGATCAGGTCACAAGTCACATATTTGTGATGGATAGACACAGAAATGGATTCTCTTCCTCCCTCTCCCTGTTATAGATCAGCACCTCTATAAATTGTGCAGCATTTCAGTGCTTCAGAGTTCATCGGAGGCAAAATATAGCACCTGCCTGCAATATTTTAAAGCAGTTGTGCCTTTCCCAGGATACAGCAGCTGTTCTCTGCAGCTTTCCAAAGTACAATTTGGAGAGCAAATTCAAAGTGCTGTGCATCAGTAAAAATTGCATATTGTTATTGGGATGTATTGTAAGTTGGCACTTTTTAAAAACTTGCTTTGTTAAAGCTGTTAGAAAAGAATCCTCACCTACATATAATGATCTCTATGGAGACTACTGGATATACAGAATGCCGTAACTCATACTCCTGTATTTCCTTACCTCACGTTGTTCATTTTTATCTTTCCATCTTCAGTTTAAATGTCTTGCACTTACTCTCATATGTTTCCATGATCTTGTTCTCTTCTTCCTTAATCTCCTCAGCTAAGATTCACTTCTTCTATTTCTTTGCCTTTTTCCATTTATCTTTTCACTTGCACTCTAACTTTGCCATGTTGTATGAGAAAACTGATGTACTGCTTGAACTCTATTTGTCTTGCTCTATTTTATTTCATTTTTAAAATCCAAACACATTTGTTCATTCTGACCTTCCTTTATGGTCTTTCTTATTTTTTTATCTTACTTTTTTCCTTAATTTTTTTTTATTGTAGGGCTTCAAGCAGAGACTACATTTATTTATAATTTATGTATGTTACCTGACAGATAAATACTTCATTTTTAATAAAAAGTAACATTGGGATGTACACCTAATACTGAAAGCACAATAGTGATTTAAGTTATAATAAATGATTGACATTCAGAAATTAAACCACTAAGCCATTATTGTAAAGAACACCGAAGGAATGCAGTTGCTTCTGTTGAATAGTGAAACTTCTGGGGGTTAATTAAAGGTTATATTATTACTGGTAGCTTCTTGCCCAGATGACAAGAAATTAATAGGATATGGAAATTAATAGGTACTATTTTTTTCATCCACTTTTTTTCATCCCCAGCTTGGATAGGAAAGTTTGTATGGAAGGCAGTTCACTGGATGTTTTTCTCAGTCCTGCCATCAGTAGATATACTTGATTGGTTTATGATAAACCTGTATGTCTTTCCTAACAAAGCAGGTGCACAAATTCCTTGCTAGGCAAACACAGAGCTTTCATTCTACCAGAAATTTCAACTACAAGGTTGTGGAACTTGGTCAATTTGCATGATAATGGCTGTTTGTTTTAGAAGGCCTTACTGGTTCGTATTGATACAGGTTCCAAGGGCAAGAAAACAGTATTTTATCCATAAATCATATTCCTCTCATTTATACTGTGATCCTATTACAAGGGCAATGATAGGCTTTTTTCCCCTTGATATTTAAGAAGAACAGAAGAGAGAAAATTAATTCTGAAATATTGTTACTACTTATGGATGCAAGTTCAATAGTATGTACCCAGCTGATTCATTCACACACACTTAGCTGCCCAGAGATGTTTTGGAGTCAGGCCATTCCTAAATGTAATAAATAAATCAGCTTAAAGCTTAAGCTGCTTTTGTATATTGAAAATCTAGTTTTAAGGTAGTGAGTTAAAATATTTAAAGTATTGGAAATCCAGAGTTGGATGAATAATAAAAAGACAGAAGTAGAAAGTAAATTTCTCTGACCTTATTGCTTGGGCCAGTATATTTGTTTTTATTCTGGGCTCAATACATTTTTATGGTAAACTGGTTGCATGGGTAGTTTGTTACAGACAAATCTCCTTAAATTAGATAATATACAAGGCAGACAAATCTCCTTAAATTAGATAATATACAAGGCAGACAAATCTCCTTAAATTAAATAATATACAAGATACTGTATGCAAAATTGCCATTCTCCTCTTTCAGCCATTCAGCCTGTGACTGACTCAAAAACATACAGCATGTTACAAGGTACCCAGAACATATAATTGCAGTGTGGGGTAATGGAATAAGTATTCCATCTATGGGACACACACCTTTGTCCCATAGATGACAGATAAAGATTTTCTGAGCTCTACCTCTCTGAGGTAATACCAACCCTATTTATGGAAATTATCACAAGTCCCATCCAGTTGCTTTATCAGTGGGAATTACTATAGTCTGTGTTAAGGAAGTTATCAAAATCTCAATAATTGACCTGAATGGAAGTCCAGATCATATCTGCAACTATATGTTATCATATATTTTCTGGAAGGGGGCAAGCACTGTCAGATTCTCAAGTGTTCTTACTTCTTTCACTCCTTCTGGCTCCGAATAACTGCCTCTCTACAAAGAACAACTATTTTCACTATATCTGCAGTGTCTATTTTGTGTGACATCATCACCACCACCATCATCTCAATGTACATGGCTGCCCATCTGAAGTTCATGACTCTGGGTACCTAACAATAATTAAAATAACAAATAAATAATTAAAATAATAAAGAAACAACAACACACATGTAATTTGTCATCAGGGTAAAAACAAATCCACCAATAATGAAATCAGCATGACCAGTGCATGGGCTCAGCCATGCTTTCAGATCCCCAGGCATAGTGATAGAACCATGTCTTTAGGGCCACGTGAAAGGCCAACAGGTTGGGGCCATCTAATCTTGGGGGTGGGGGGGATTGATACACCTACATCACCTCTGGATTTCTCACCTTGGCATCTCTGCTTATAGAGCAACTTATCTGATATATGTGGAAGTTTCTCCTTAGAAATACCTGCTAGCCATTTCTCAGATTTACAAGACAAGGTTTACTCTTATTACTGTATGCCTCTGGAGGGATGCTTCTAAAATGGCAGAAGAACCGTCTACAATAATCTTCCTAAATTTTCTCTCAACAGAGACAGGTGTGTCTTCTCCTGTGATTGCTACAGACTCTGCAAGAACAACTGGAGTGCCAGCTTGGATTAGCATAGCAAAGCAAAAGCGAAGGGTTGTAGAACAAGAGCTTAGCAAAGAAGAGAAGCCAGTGGGACAGAATAAGGCAGATGCAGAAAAACAAATAAAAGAGAAGGAAGCAACAGAGGTACGTAATTTATCACTGTTTGATTTGTGTGTGTCATTTCAGTGGCGCTTCTTTGTTTTAGTTTCATTGATCAGTTCTCTAAGCCTTGATATGTCCTTTAATCAAGTCAGCTAAACCTGTCCTGCTTCTGAGAATTCAGCCAGTTATGACAGGTGTCTGCCATCTCTGTCATGAAACTATGGTTATTTATTTGTTACATTATGGGAAAATCAGAGAGTGGAAATGGTGTTTCAATTTATATTCATTACAGTGGAGTCAGGTTGGTTAGGAATTTGAATTCCCCTTAAAAGCCAAACTCTTTACTTATTAAGCTACGTTGGCTCACAACATAGTTTAAAGCATTTTAATGATCAGTAACATTATAGACTACCGGTTCTTGAAAAGATCAAGGCATTCAGTGTAGACATTTTCCCTCCCTCTCATAATGGATAAACCATCTTTGCTAGTCCTCAAATTGCAAATTAGGATTCTTTGCCAAACCATTCGTTTCCTCTCTTAGCATTCACACAAAGAGGTATGCAGTATGTCCCAGGTACATACTGGCAAACGTTATGACATCACACAAAGCTCTTCTGATGCTGAGTGAGAACACTACTTTTTCTGGCCTGCCACATTCTGTTCCAATTGAATTCCTGTTCCAATCTATTCCAAACCTTGAATTTTCCAGATGTGAATAGGAATAGATGTCAGTCTGTTTTTCACCTGAGTCACTTTTAGACATGTTTCCCCTTTATATCATTGACGGTGAACCTTTTGGGCTCAGTGTGTCAAAAATTCAGAAAATGCCTAACTTGACTCTGCTGGTGTCTCACCACCACCACCGTACAAAAGAGAAACAATTCTTTACATATTCATTTATCTAAAAAAATATAGTCCAATCATATGCGGTGTTATGCATTATATTAAGAAGTGTCAAACAATTACAAAAACAAAATACGAGTAAAACAAATTTGGTAACTCAAATAGTTGTTATCGGGTGTTGGTGAATGCTGGCGTGTCACCCAAAACATCATGGCTTGTCACCTTTGACGCGTGTCATAAGTTCACCATCACTGCTCTATATCAATGTAGCTTTGTGAATCTTAAAGGGATCTTTAAGTGGTTCTACTAGATATTTTACTTCTTTCATTCTGTAAATGTGTATCTGCTGAATACCTACTTAAAGAAACAAAGTATACATTCAAATTAGTCCACCAATTTCTGAGTCCTTTCAAATAAATAAAGCATCCTTTTAGACTTAAGAAAAGTCTTATGTGACTTTTCTTGAAAAATTAAATAAATTTAAGTTAACTTTGCGTATTCTCTTCTACGTCCTTCTGTATAATTACAATTATGGACAAATGTATAAAGAGTGCTTGTGGGGATGTTAGAAGTGGGGAAAGTTGAACATTACACTGAAATTTGTTTTTCTTATTCTAACAGATGCTGTACATAGTCTAAGTTATAATTTTAGAATCAATTTATACTGATAATTGTCAGTATAAAATTGCTCAATTGTACAAGCATGTGTATATTTTTGTGGGGAAAATGCCCACTTTAAATGAGGAACCAAAGCGGTTGGAGATAGTTGAAATAAAGTATATTTTATTGGCATGAACAACTACAGCGATCACTCGGCCATAAGAATGCAAAAGAACCCTGAAAAAGCAAGTTTATGGGCTATATACTCCTCTAACATGGGAATGATAAAGAAAGCAATGTAAATCATCTGGTCCTTACAGCCGGAATGTAACATCTGATAATACTATGGGATGCCCTTACTATGGTCTGACCCAGGGCCTCTAAATTCCACATTCATGCAAAGGCTCCAAGCTCGCCCTCTTCTACTGATACTAGCACTTACTAACATAAACTGTGTCCTTTATTTGTACCCATGTAGCGTCTCCTTGTACATCCTCATCAAAATTTGGATGTGCAAAAAAGGAATAAGAAATAGCAAACCAAAGATATTAAAGCCAGGAGATAAGAAAAAGAAAAGGAAACAAAGCTAAACTAGTTTATACCACAATTCTCTATATCCCTGCATACTTTTTATCTTTGCAAATCATCCTTGCTTCCATCACCTCCATATACCGATTCATACATTGCTTTTTGTTTTTTAAACTTCTGACCTCTCTCTTTTTTGGGATCTTATCAACTCCACCCAACCATAACTTTCTTGTTTTTGCCATTGCTCTCAATCCATTTGCTGTTCCTTCAAATATCTTTGTGATTCAATCCTCAATCATTCTCTCTATATAATCAGAAAAAGTACATCTTTCATACTAGTCACTCACATTTCTATTCAGTCCAGATTCATTAATCACCCATTCATTCTTGATCCTCTTCTTGCTTTACCATACAGACAAAAATTATACTGAGGTACAGTGGGTTTTTTTCTTTTTGATATCCAACAATAAGCATTAAAGTCATAAACAGCATTCACATCCTTGGTAATACTTCCTCAAATACTCCTTTGTGCCTATAATTTACAATTAATTCTGAGTGGGAACCTCTTTTTAGTGTATGTGTGTATGTATGGTAATACTTCCTCAAATACTCCTTTGTGCCTATAATTTACAATTAATTCTGAGTGGGAACCTCTTTTTAGTGTATGTGTGTATGTATGGTAATACTTCCTCAAATACTCCTTTGTGCCTATAATTTACAATTAATTCTGAGTGGGAACCTCTTTTTAGTGTATGTGTGTATGTATGTACATGTGTGTGTGTGTGTATATATATTTCATTTACACATAAACTATGCAATAACTCCAAACAGGTTGAGAAGTTTGTCCTCCCAAGCTCTAAATAAATAATTTAAGTATATAAAGTCTACATATTTGAAATGAACAACTTGTATCCTTTGTCACAAATTATACTCGCTAGGCTGTTGGAATTGTTTAGAACCACAATTGCTCCACCCCAGCACAAATAGTACAACTCCCTTTTTTAGCATCACTCTTGTATGTTTGTTTGTTGGTTTATACAATTTATATGGCTGCCCAACTTGCTAAGCAACTCTGGCTGGCTAACAGTAAATAAAACCAAAAACAACAGCAATCCAAAATAATGAAAAACCATTATACTACATTATGCTACATATACAATGCACCAAGGTCCCAAATAAGTCCTTTGCCTCTTACAGATCAGTAGCTGACAACAAGAAGTTAACCAACAGAGTTTACCTAACAACCAAGGTTCAAGAGAAAAGCCAAGTCTTTTACACTTTATAGAGCTATCCAGATCTTTGTAGTGGGAGGGGATGCTGTTCCATAGGGCAGGTGCCACAACAGAGAAGACATGTGTCATGGGCTCTGTGAGATGGCACTGCTAAATATAAAGAACTGAAGCATACATACACTGACAGATCTGGTGAGGTGAACAGAAACCATTGGGGATAAGTGGTCCCACAAATAAAGTCCCAGCAAGGCTTTATAGAAGACAACCAACATCTTGAAGATCATCAGGAGCCAGTGCAGCTCACAGAGCAGTGGTATTACATAAGCATATCATGAGATGCCCAAGACTATCTTTGCTGCCAAAGTAGTTGCGTGTTTCAAATGCTCTTCAAGGGCAGTCCCATATATGGAACTTTATACTCGTTCAAATGGGGGATGACTAAGGCATGATCCAAAAATGGGCACAATTGGCACACAAAGTGGATTTCTAAAAAGGCCCTCTTGACCACTGCTGCCACCTGCTTCTCAAGCAGGGCCTGTGAGTCCAAGAGAACACCCAAATTGTGTACTGACACTGGGGGAGTGCAACCCCATTCAGAATTAGGGGGAGGGTGCAGCCATTTGGGCTTACCAAGGTTGACCTAAACAATCTCCAAACACTGAAAAAGAACTGTGACAGAATCACTTAAATACTTGGATAATTGGGTATCACCAGCATACTGATGATATCTCACCTATGTTATTGGATGACCTCAGCAAGTGGCTTCATGTAGATATTTAATATGGATGGGGAAAGAGTAGATCCCCTAAAACTAGACCTCCTTCCTCCTACTGACACCAACTGGAATTGGCCCTGGAGAAAGGAGAAGAACCACTATAACACTGTGCCTCCCACTCCCAGCCTCTGAGACAGTTCAGAAATATACTGTGATGATGATATGAAAAGCTACTGAGAGATCAAGGAGGGCTGGAATGGATGCACTACTCCCACCCCAGTCCCACCAAAGGTTATCAATAAGTGTGATCAATGTCATCTCAGTGATATAACCAGGTCTGAAACATGACTGAAAAGGGTCCAAATAATAATGTTGGAAAGGAGTAAGCAACTTCTTTTGCCTAATCTAGCAGGACTATAATAAGCTGTTGATAGATCTGTCTTCTATGAATTAAATTCCAATTACCATGTCTTGGGATAATAAATTCCACAGGTTAATTATGTGTGAAGAGCGCAACAACTGTAATATATAATAGGATAATTTCAAAGATGAGCAGGAGAGTCATGTCTGCTGTTTAATTATGTGTTGTTCTGTTAAATTCCTATCATATTCTCTTTCCCAATTAATTATTTAAAACTTTACTGGTTTTCTCTTTGTACTTTTATTTAGGAAGCAGTAAGTCAACAGTCAATTTTCCCTCAGAACACAGTCTCACCTTCCCCATTCACAGTTTCTGCTGAAGAAACAAAGAAAGAGATGAAGCTGGATATGCAAGATTCTTCACTAAGAAATAGCTTGTTATCCCATCAGAATCCTGGTATGAAAACAAGTAGGCAAAATATTGACCTACTATTGTTCTACTTCATCGTTGTTGGGGCTCCCACATTGTACTAAGGTATCATAGGATTTGGATTTGGCTTGGCATGCAGTATGAATTTGACCAGTTGTGGGTAATTAAAAAAACGATGGTTAAACAAAACATGCACAACGTATAGGCCCATTCAGTATTTCTACAGTACTTTTCATTTGCTACTTATAGGAAGATTGTTGTATACCTATTTCACGTGCCATTAAGGCCTTGTTCACATATATTTTTCAAACACTCAAAAATGCAAAGTGTGCTTTCTGTGAATGTATATGCAATTATATACAGAATCTTGTCAAGTCCAGATAAACTGCAGTTCCAGTGTTCACTTGGTGAGGGAGGAGAAGAATCTAGGTTTTATTTCTGCAGCCTATGTGGAGTATTCTTTTTATACAGCTTTATTTTCTTGATTGTGTTTAGAAGACATTAATTCCCTAACAATGCTCCATGGGATGAACCTGACATGTTCAATTTAGCATTAGAATACTTTGTAGAATATATAAAAATTGTATTCATAGTTTATTTTCATGGGCAGGATTCTTACACAGCCTTACCTAGTAGAACTCAGAGTGTTAGCTGATATTGCTGAACATTGAGCTCCTAGAAAAGGGATTCTCAGACTAGGATCTGTAGACCCCCAGTGGTCCACAAGATCTTTCAACTGGTTTGCTGCAGCTTCCCCACATTCATTGGCCAGAGCCAGCTTGCTTCCTCAGTTCCTGCTTTTCCCTGTTCACCACCAGTCAGCTGGCCAGTCTTTCTGACATGAAAGACTTAGTACTCAGAGACTTCTATTGAAAAACATTTGTGACCAGTACATTTGTGCTAAAAGTTGTTATATAGCATGAAGTACATAAAACAGTTCAATAAAAGCTTAGTTTGGGATTAATATTTTGGTATAAAAATTTAAGAAGCCCTTTAAAAATGGAAAACATTAGAAGACATACAAAAAAGTAACTCTAATTGTTATCCTATTTGCCAAAAAAAACCCCTAACTCTTTGCTTTTAATGAAAAGACATAAGCAGGGGGTGGGTGGGTTGTTTAAATGGATGTTCCCCAGATTTTCCAGATGTTCATTTTGTGCTTCACAGTTGCAGAAGGTTTGAGAAATACTGTAGTAGAAACTTTTTTTTTTCCATATGCAGTTCAGTCATCAGTGCCAATTGAAAAAGAAGATATAAAGCCACTCAAGAAGGTCAGTCATTCTCCAGATCAACCCTCATGGATGGAACTTGCCAAAAAGAAATCTCAAGCATGGAGTGACATGCCACAGAGGAGAAAGTAGATAAATCATTTTGTACTGCTTTTACACATCCACATCAGCACTCAAACGTGGATCAAATGTTTTAGTTAAAAAAAAAAACTAATTTTTCAAATTAAACTGATTGAATTGATAAGGATAATAAACCTATGGTACACCAAAGAGGCCACAATGGAAGAGTTTCAGAAATGTCAATCACATTTGTATATGTTTAAAAAGTTACTATAGGACAATTCTAAAAAATGACTACAAACAATTAGCTTTGGCAAGAACTTATTCTGATGTGAAAAATATTGCTTATTGTGTTTTCTTTCATTCTTTCACCTGCAAAATTGGTATGTCATGAATATTGGTAGAAGATTAACTAAAAATTTGATAACTGTTGTTTTAATACAGTGAGAATAATTATCCAGTCAAAATGACTTTGCTGAGCTAAATAATTACAACAGACTAGAACAAGAATGTCTTTTCAGACATACAGGTACAACATTTTAATGTGATAGAATATTAATGAAAAACTAAAACAGGTTTTAGTAATTGCTTCTCAAGACATAGAGATGAGCTAAGACACCTGTGGTTTAGATCCCTACCTTTCCTGATAGATGAAAACCTCCATGGAGGTTACAGGAAGTTGGGTCAGGGTGCTGGTTAAGGTATCCTTGAGAGAGGTGTTGGCCCCATCTGCTTTGGAGGTAGTGGAGCCACCCCTTCCTGAGGAAGCCATCATTAGATAAGTACTGTTCTGTTTCCAATTTTCTCTTTTTAGGACAGGTTCTTAAGAAGGTGGTGCTCTAGGGGAATCCCTAGAAGAAATGGCTTATCTGAACCTTTTTTCAGTTGGATTTCAGACCTGGATATGGTTCTGAAACCACATCAGTTCCTCTTGTGGATGACCTTAGATGGGACTGAGATAGGGGTAGTGCAACTCTCTGGCCCTGCTGGATATCTCTGTGGCTTCTGACACCATGAATCATGGCCAGAAGTTAGGAGTGGAAGGCACTGTTTTACAGTGGTTCTCTTTCCTGAGGGGGAAGTTCCAGTCAGCAGTAGTGGGGAGAAAGAGGTCATGTCCTAAGACCCATTGTTGTGGAGTGCCATCAGGGCTCAACACTTTTACCCCTCCTGGGTCAAATGTATATGAAGCTGCTGGAGGAGGTTATCAGTCAGCATGGGGTCTGCAGGTGATGTCCATTATATACATCAATCCCAGAAGAGATTGATTATTCAGAAGAGATGAGCTGTAAGGGCCTGGAGGCTATCAGTGCCTGGAGGCTATGATGGTCTGGATGGGGAAACAGGCTCAGGCTTAAACTTAGCATGTTAGAGTGAGTGTGGATACAGAAACCTTATGATTCCAGGGATATTCCATCTTTGAATCTGAATGGGATTGTACTTCCTCATGCAGAACTGCTAGAACTTAATCTGGGAGTCCTCTTGGACTGACAGTTCCTATTAAAAGAGAGGTGGCAGCTAGGACCAAGAGAACTTGGTTACATCTGCTGTGCTAGGTATAACCATTCCTGCTTACAGTCATTCATGCCTTAGAAGCCTTCCTTTAGATTACTGTACTGCAGTTCAGTGTACATGGAGCTGCCCATGAAGTCTGTATGAAAGCTCCAACTGGTCCAGGATTTAGTTTCTGGAGTAATAATGGGGTGTAATAAAACCTCTACTTTTAGAGGCTGCAGTGGTTATCAGTGTGCTTCCAAGGTGCAGTTCAGGATTCTGGGTCTCATCTTTAAAGAGAAGAGATCCAGAGAAGCTACTCTTCCCAATCTTTTTGGACAGACCCCTGGAAGAGGGTGGATCTGCATACCTGTGGGACTGCCTTCTCCCAGTGGCCAATAAGATTGGGAAGCATAGTCTCTTTCTGGGTCCTTCTCTTAGGGATTCTTCTTTCAGCTGCAGCCCCTCTTCTTTGGAACACTATACTTCCCAAAATCAGATTAGGTCCCAATCTGCTAAATTTAGGAAAGTTACTAAAACCTGACCTTTTAGGAGAGCACTGGGATTTGATCTTTATAGTACTATAGTCAGCCCCCATGATGGGTTTTTGTTTGATATTTGTTTCTTAGGTGCTGAAGTTTGTGTAATTGCAAACTATGTTGTTTATTTTGATTTTCTAACCTCACTGCAAGAGGGGAATGTAAACTAATGTCCTTTTTGGATTGGAGTGGCATATAGGCTTGAATGAGTAAATAAATAAATACTCTCATGGCTTAGTAAACTACTGCAACTCTTATCTTGCTCATCTATATCAGTTTTTGGTACCCTCCAGATGTATTGTACTTGCAATTAAGGCTATGCTGCCTGGAAGTTCTGGGCATTGTAGTCCCCATGTATCTGGAGGAAATCAGATTGGGTAAATCAGCTCTGTGCATTACAGAAACGCTTAATATCAGAAGCAAGTACGAGTCTCTTGCACTCTTTTGATTTCTGATCATCGATAAATATTATATCATACACTTAGTCCACTGCTTCTTCCCTCTGTCGAAAAAAATACTCCACTGAGGACCCTCCAGTTATTTGAATTTCTGGAAGGTTCTTTATCACCAGAACAAGCAGATCTTAGAAAATCAAGATTTCTTGTTGTGGTTGTTGTCTTTTAGATTTGAGATTTGGAAAAATTTGGGTCACAACTCTCAAATTGGAGGCAGAATATTCTAAAGAAGCAGCCAGCACTCCAGAAGGAAGGGCAAATATTAAAGCTCAGGACTCTACTGCTGAGCGGACTGGATGATGGTGGGCTGCTGCTTTTGCAAAAGGGCAAAACATTGGGTGGGGAGATCCCTGGTAGGTCCAGCTGTTCTTCTAATGCCTTTGGACAAATCCAAACTTACCTTGATGGAAGTAGAGCAATGCTCTAACCCTATTGGCAGAACTTGCAGTGGACTTTCATTTTTTTATATATAATTTTTATTAAATATTTTTAAAAAGGAAGATAAAAACTAATGCAAATTAATATAAAGTAAAAAAAAGAAATCAAAGAGAAAGCTAAAAGTGCAAGAAAGAAAAAAAAGTAAAAAAAATAGAAAAGAAAAAAAAGCTACAAAGTAGCTTCTGATCTTCTTTACAGCAGTTATAAGTACAATTATAAATTTCTGTCTTATTCTATGGTTACAACATAACTCTCTTCTTTCTATAATCTAGCCTGCTTAATCATCAACATCATAAATCATAAGTCAATTTTTTTCTGTTTTATGCAAAAAGTCCATAAGGAGTTTCCAGTGAGCAATAAACATAGATAATTTCTTTTCTCTGATCAAAGAAATCAATTTAGCCATCTCAGCAAGTTCCACCATCACCATCATTTCTCCATTGTGGATAGTGCCGAATTTTTCCATCTTTGTGCATACAATAATCTCACTGCAGTTATCATGTACAAAAACAAAGATCCGTGACTTTTTTCCAACTGTTTGTCCATCAATCCCCAAAGAAAAAGCTCAATTGTATATTAATCTTTGAAATCCGCTGAATCAGTGTGTGTATTTGAATCCAGAATTTTATAGCTTTTTTACGTCTACCAAACATCATATGAACCTTGTTGTTGTTCACATTTTCAACATAAATTTGAAGTGCCTTTATACATTCTATACAATTTCTCTGGTGACATATACCAACAACACATCATTTTATAAGAAATCTCTTTAAGATTATAACGTAATTATAAATTTCAATCCTTTCAGCCACATATTTTCCCATTGTTTCATCTGTATATTATAACCAAAAAATTAACCCACTTTACCATACATTCTTTCACTTGTTCTTCTTCTGTTTCATATTTCCAAAAAAGTTTATACATTTTAGCAATTAAAAATGTTTATCATTTGTACATAATTCTTACAATATTCAAAACCATAAATTCTTTTGTTTACTTTAAATCTTTCTAATAATTGTAAATAAGAGAACCATTGACAATTACGCCCCTCTGCCACCAGTTCTTCTCTTGATCTTATTTTACATTCCCCTTGACAGAATTCTAATATCTCACGGTATGTTAACCATTTGTGTTTCCCTATTATTTCTTATCTATAAAATGCTGCTTCTTCTGAGAGCCCTGAAGGTGTTTTTGGGCACAACCTGAATTTGTATCTATTCCATATCCTCAATATGGCATGTCTAACATGATTTTTAAAATCCACATTAACCTCGACTTTGTTGTACCACAAATATCCATGCCATCCAAGTCTCAGGACATGTCCTTCTAACTCCAAAAGCCTTCTGTTTCTCAGCAGTACCCACTCTTTTATCCAAACCAAACAGCAAGCTGCAAAATACAGTTTCAAATCAGATAAATCCAATCCTCCTCTTTCCTTTGCATCTTGTAACACCTTATATTTAACTCATAGTTTTTTCCCCTGCCGCACAAATTTACATATATCCTTCTGCTACTGTTTAAATGGTGCATCAGTTATCAAAACAGGTATTGTCTGAAACAAAAACATCATTTGAGGCAAGACACTAATTTTTATCACAGAAATTCTCCCCAGTGGACTTTCAGATTTGGTCAGAAGAAGATGTGAGATCTGGCTTTGCCCATTTGCTCACAATGGGAAAACCATTTCATAATGAGTCCTCCTGAAAGTTTAAGAAACACTTTTTAAAACCATGTAGTAAGGATTTAAGTTTTGACCCTGACACATGTAGTTATTCAGAGATGAATAAGAATATCTTAAGAACCATATCATCTATAAGCTGAAAAAGGGCAGAGGAATTTATTGATATTAATGTTGATTATTTTGAATTCTGCAAAAATCTTTATCAGGATAAATTGTAAACAAAATGGGGGGGGGATTACCTAATGCTGAAATCATGCAAGCTGGATATAACCATCCTTTAAATAAACTATATTCACTGGATTTGGGTTACACTGAATTGTATTTCAAAATCAAAGTCTTTTGATTTTCTCATGTTGTAAAAGAGGAGGAGAATATGTTTGTGAATAGGCAGTGAGGTGAGAAGGGGGAATATGTTACCCTGAGGCTTGGTATGCTAACATAGAATAGCAACCATGTTTTCCTGCAATTTCAGTATCAAGCCACGGTTTTGTAACATGCTAAAATATATTTTAAGATTCTTTTACTTATTGTAGTTATTCAGAGGTTGATTTATAGTTAATACATACTAAGGTTTATCCCAATTTGCTAGGAAAAAACATTAATATAAAATGTTTACATTATTTCAGCCAAGTGTTTAAATTCAACAAACAAAATATGCAATGTAAATATGCATATATGCAGTGAACAGAATAACAAAGTAACACTTGCTAAAGAGTTTTCAAATGCATCTTAGTTTCTTAGAGCAGAAGCATAAATTAGAGTATAATGTCTGTTCTGTTGTTAATAACTGCAAGAAATATTACAGCATACTGAGTCACATAATTTGAAATAAAATAGGACAGTGTACAGTGTACAGCTATAGTTTATTTATATATATCAACTAATCCCTGCTTATATTGTAGAAATGCTAATGAATTAAAATCATAAACAGTCAAGCTAGTGTTTTACTGCCTTGTCAGTCAAACAATTTAATGTACTATATCTTGAGATATCCATACATAGAGAAAAGTGCAAGATCACTTTTGGACTGAAAGCTGTATTTTATTAAATATTACATTAACCGTTTCCATTTTTGCATTGCATACAGTAATGTTATCTGTCTTGTTCCGGCTTTCATCCCTATAACATGATCATCACTCATGTTATAGTTCATTATGATTTACTTCCTAGTAATTGCATTTGGAATTGTTCCCTACATTTTTAACATCTGAATTTGTTTTAATATTGTGTAGAGAACTGTAATAAACTTTCAAGTCCAGAATACCTTGTGTGAACAATGCTGATTATTGTCCTGTTTCAGGTTTCAAACTCACACACAGTTGCTGGAAAGGAAAGCTTGCCTGGGTAGTTTTACTTTCAACAGGAACACGCAGAAGAGAGTCAAAATCCAGTCTGATGTCTGGCTTCCACTGTGAGTCATGGCTCACTCTGCAAATAGTGGAGACAATGATTGCTGTATAGAATGAAAGACCGATGAGTAGACCTGTCCTTTGAGGCTCTCTGGAGAAGGAGAGAATGGGAGATTGCCCATGAGTGCTCTGAATGGCAACTCCTCATGAGGAGACTGTAAAGCAGTGGTGACCTACATGTTTGAGCGCCAGGAGCTGAGGGAGACAACATCTCTGTTGTCAGCAGTGGCAGAATCTTAAATAAGGACCAAAGCCAGCCGAACTCACTTTCTAATCACATTTGGAAATGTTCAATTTAACCACTTTATGGATATTAGAGACCTTCAAAATGACACCTGGTGAGTTTTACCTCCTCCTTTGGATTTAAAAAAATTTAAACAGAGACTTAAGAATTTAAAATAATATGCAATTGACAAAAAGCAAAAAAAAAAATTTTTTTTTGATTTAAGAAAGTTTTAAACAGACTGGGAGACCAGAATCCAATGTTCAAAGAACAAGTCAGGTTTGTCAACCAGTCCAAAGGTCAGAGGTTTAGGGTTTGTTTTTTTTTTGTTTTTTTTTACACAAGCAGGATTCACAGGAACAACACATTAGAGCAGGAGATCAGACAATTGTTTCCAACAGAGAAACACAGGTCAGGATTGCCTCTTAAATCAGGCTGCAGCCAGCTATCTTTAATTAAGATAGTTACTCCCTTGCTTGGCAAGGAGCCTCATTGAGCATCTTTGCTCTACTCTCTGCTCACCGAATCTGAGGGCTTGGAGGCTGTGCCTCATCATCTGACTGCTCCAGCTGTTTGATCAGCCTTGGGTGATTCCTGGCTTGGTGTCTCCTGAGGCTGACATTCCACTGATTCAGCTGCAGCAACTTCTTCAGAGACAATTAGAATCTGAGCCCTGGGCCATTACAGTTGTGTGATGTGTTAACAAACTCATATACAGTGCTATGAGTACAAAGCCTATATTGGTAAGAATATACAATTAATTTAAAATGGAATTTTTGTCCTACATAATTTTACATTGCTTGTCCTTTGTTTATGAATAGACACTTTATGGCTATAGCCATGTTCTGATCTGGGGTCAAGATCTCCGAAGGCTATATAAATCCTTTGAAAGAGGCAGTTTACAACATGTGGGAACATATGCAATGTACTTCTCTTTGAAGCTTTAAAGCAGCTGCAACTTTTTTCAAGCTCACACTGCTGCTTCAAAATCAAAAGCTCTGCATACTTATATATGTATAGTTGCTTTGCTTGCAGAGACAGTCAGGAACATCTTACAAAAAGGCAGTTTGAAGCTTAAAAAAAGATGCTGCTTCTACTGCTTTAATAATCTGTGCCCTGCACACTGCAGCTCTTCTTTCATAGAATTTCCAGATTGCTAATAGCTCCCACAGATCATCATTCAAAAGCCCAGGTATGCATCTTCCCTGGTAATATAGCTTCCTCTGTTACTGCACTAAACAGTGGGTCTCTGTCAAGTTTAAGCAACAGATTGAATACTATACTCTTCTGAAAGATTATTTTTTTGAAAATAATCCATGTGGTTAGATCTGCTAATATGTTTACTGTACTTTACTGATGCGGGCTACTTGAACAGTGGAAAGGTGACACATAAATATATTAGATAAATAAAACAACAGAGTTATTAAAAACATGGGAGAGGGAATTTGTGAATGACTTTTTCAGGAGACATATGGTCCTTATGTAGGAAACTTGGAATGAAGACAGTTCTTCCTCCTTTGTTCTCTCTTCTCTTTTCAGATTAAAAGACATAAAGCAAATGCCAAAACTACAGTACAGTGTTAAATTTAAAAACACACGTGGCTCAAATGATCTTAGCTACTGTTAACAACTCAGTGCTTTTTTTTTTTAATTTAATAGCTCATGTTCAGAACATGAGACTAGCACTCCAACTCTCTGTACACAAAGTACACAAGAGAGATAACAGTG